TTTAGAACTGGAATTCTTAACCTTTTATATATCGTGGGGCACTCTGGCAGACTGGTGAAACCCATGGACCCCTTCTCAGAATAATGCTTTTAAATGCCCACGATAAAATACATAGCATTACAAAGGAAATCAATTATATTGAAATAATTTCAAATGCTATCAAAATATTATTTTTAAATCAAGTTCACACACTCCAGATTAAGAACTCCCAAAATCAGGGTGGGATAATGATTGATCAGCAAAGACATAGCCAAAAGATCTGGGTCTGAGTCACAACTCTGATATTAATGAACTATGTGACTTTGGCAAATCACATAGCCTCTCTAGATCTCAGTTTCCTCATCTGTAAATGGAAATAATACTTGTACTACCTATCTCATGGTTGCTTGGAGGAAAGTATTACATAATAAGAATTATTACTATTATTGGTGAAAGATTTTTTTCCCATGGGTCATCAGTATAATAGGCATGTCTGATGAGAAAATCTCAGAGGAGCTTATGGGCTAATTTGTCTGCCATCCTCCCGTAAAGGCAGCCCTGAGTGACTAGTTTAAAGGAGTTATATAACAAACATTTTCATGAAAGTTTTTGATGATCCTTTTCCTTACCTCTTATTTGAAAGGAAGCTCTCATTGCTTAATAGTAATACTAACAGTTCCCATTTCTGTAACATTTTACAATTTTCAAAATGTATTCCTCACAACATCCCTCTGAGGCATTTATTTCAAATATTGTTATTTCTAACTTATGTATGTGCAGCTGAGGCTTAGAGAGGGAAGCAGGCAACCAGCCATGGCTGCAAGTCCCATTCCTTTTCTTGGCTTTAGATTAATTCTCTACAAAAATGAAGGGATTGTACTATATGCACTATAGGGTTCATTCCATCTCTAAATTCTGTGAACCATGGCTATTAAGTGTAAACACAGAGACCTTAAACCAATGCCTTTCCAGTATGCCACTATACCTTTTACTGTCATAGTGTCTTGTCCTCAGAACTGATATAATCTGAAAGGTCATTTTCACAACTATAGTGGTGTCTCCTTAGATTCCCTTTTCTCTGAAGACACCAGTGACCCTTTCTGACTTCTTGGCATTTGTCAAAGAACAGAACTGTCCAATTAGAAGCAAGAAAAAGAAATCCTTAATAGAAAAGTGCATTAGACATGTAGCCTCAAATTAGTTTTATCTTTATGTGCGTGTTCTCATCTAGAAAAGACAATGGAACTGATATATTAAAACTGAGGCACAAGAAAAAATTCATGTTTGAAGGTTCAGAAGACAAAAACAGACACTAGTAAATGGAAGTGTTGCATCAAAGGGCATTTTGTTTTGAAATGGAAGCAGGCACTGGTCTGACATAATTCAGCATTTCTTCAAGGGACCTGCCTATCCTGAAAAAGAAATAGGAATCATCAGAATTTTGTCTATGTTATCAAATGCTACCACTTGAGTAAGGGTGACCATGTCCTTCTTTGTTTAACATTGAGGCCGTTACGAGGGAGAGGTCTATACACAGGGAGACAACAGATGTTCAACTGCCACCTTGGGAGGAGCAGTGAAGGCATAAGGGAAACTACCTTTGATTGTATTTTATGGGACTAAACACAGGCAACATAATGTAGGCAGTGCAAAGATCCATCAGAAGACAAGACTCATTGGAAAAGAGCCTGCTGTTGGGAGCGTTTGAAGGCAAAAGGAGAAAGGGACAGCAGAAATTGAGATGGAGAAATAGTCATGGAAATAATGAACATGAGCTTGGACAGACTTTGGAAGATAGTGGAGGATAAAAGGGAATGGTGTACTATGGTCCATGGGGTCATGAAGAGTCAGCAACAACAAAAGGATCCATCAATGCTGGTGATGGGCGAGACCAGCCACTATGATTCTGTGGGAAATGGGAGAAATCATTATCTGGGATATAACATTTTATTTCATGGTCTCAGCCCAAGGTGGTACTGGTTAACCTTTTGTGTGAGCTATATGGCTTCCTATAGGCTTTATCTATGGGATTAGAGTGATAGTGAGTGAACTTTATCAATGTGTTATCCCAGCAAAATGGGGGAGCCATTACTCATTTTATCTGCTTGTAGGTTTCAGGAAGGGACTAGTCAAAGTCTCCAACTTGATTGTAATTACCTGGAAAACTGTCTGTGATGACAGAGTGGATTCAGAATGGGCTTAATAGCCCACACCTGACTCATCTCTCCTGAGGCACTTCCCTTTCTCAGTCAGGGTACACTGGGATGATGCAGCAGTGTCCAGCAGTCCAATCTAAATTATATTTTCTGAGACAGACACCAGTCTGGTCTTTATCATCTAAAATAATCATGTGGCTTCATTTTTCACTTTGAATATATGAACTACCTTGAGTCCCTCTACAGTTACTCAGGAACACTCAGTCCATTAATTCTATTACTATCATGCATTGTCTCATGTTCCTTGGCTTTTGCTTGGGACTGTACAAATGTATTGTGCTTCGAGGGGACCTGTGATTTCATTGATCCCCAGTTCTCAAACATTTTTGTCTTATAACCCCTTTACACTTTTAAAAATTATTGAGAACTCTTAAAGAGCTTCTGTTTACATAGGTTATATCTATCAATATTTACTTATTTAAAATGAAAGCATCTTAGTATTATTATGAAAATGGTTTTGAGCTCCCAGGTAACCCTAAAAAGGTTCCGTAGACTGTGTTTTGAGAACCAGTAGTCTAGGGGCTTCTTATCAGAGCTCGAAGGCACCTTAGAACACAGAATGTCAAAGCTGAAAGAAGTACAAGAACATAGAACATCAGAGCTAAAAAACAACTTAGACTATAGAATGTCAGAGCTGGGAGGGACCTTAGAGCACAATGTTCTTGCTGGAAGGAATCTTAGAATATACAATGTCAGAGCTGGGAAACCAACTCCCTTATTTTTATAGATGAAGTAATGGAAGGAGGGAAGTGACTTACCTCAGGTCACATAGGTAGTTATTGATAAAACGTTATAATCAGAAACTCTTGATTTAATGAAAATCATTTCCCAGGTAGTACATTCATGGAGCTTTAATTCAGAGGTGTCAAACATGCAGCCCACAAGTGCAGGAACCAGATTAAAGTGTAATTGGCAAATATTTAACAAAATAAAAAAATACACTAGAATATAAATAATGTTAATCTATGCTTTTCCAAGTCAGTATGTGGTCCACAGGGATCATTATGCCTGGTTTCCTTTTGAGTTTTGACACCACTACTAAATTATTACTTATCTTGTTCCTTATTAACAGTTAGCTGCTATTGATTGCTGAAGTTCAGAATCCTCAGAATGAATCCTATGCAGAATTGTTGCCACAAATGTGATTTACTTTTTAAAGTCGTGTCCTTGATTCCTTGGACACTGTTGTTGATCCTACCTTTATATTACATCATTCTATCTACCGGGGAGACTCTGTCTCTCTGTCTCTCTGTCTCTCTGTCTCTCTGTCTCTCTGTC